CTCACAATACCATGTTAAATGATACTAGCTCTCTACAATGATATGACATTGTCCACTTCTTATGACTTTGCTTTCGGCTTCCCCAAAATGTCTCATACCAATGGAGATGTATTCATTAATTATAAATTTATGATCATTTCTTAAATTAGCGATGTGAGACCTTCATCCAACACATGAAAGATCCGAACTCGTAAATGGATATAAAAAGACATTGCTGCCAAAGTGAGTTTAGTTCGGTGATAATTAACATATTTTGAGGTTGGAGATTCATATTACAATTATTGAACTAAATTATTTCACTCCTTAATTATATAATATATAATATTATATAACATATTAGGTATACAATATGCTATTTATGTTACACTTAAAAGAGGCAAAAATAAATAAATAAATAAAATAAAATAAAGGAATTGTTTTGGTAATTTATCCAATTTTGAATATAAATTATTAGATTTAAAAATAATAATACATTGGGGAAATCAAAACATGTCGAAGAACTAAACTGTGTGAGGATGGAAGAAGGGGGCGGCACCTAGATTGAAGAGACTAATTAAAACTTAATTTAATATTATTTTAATTTTAATTTTAATTAAATATTATTTATATTTTATATTTTAATTTATTGAAATTATCAAATCAATAATGGCAGAAGGGAATGGAATGTGACAGATGCAATGCCTCCCCTACTAACATGCCATATTTTTCACTAATTCCCTTCTTTAATTTTTTTTTCTTTATTATTCCAAATAAAATCATTTTTTAATTGTATTTATTTATTTATTTATTTATAAATGCCACCCTCTACTTCATCCAAATTGTTTTTCCCACCCACTTATTTATTATTATTATTGTGTTAACAAATGTGGCAGTTCATTGATTTATACTCGAGATAATTAAAATAATTTAGTATACGTGGCACACATAGAGTAAGCCACGTATTTTCTTGAAGTTAATAATTAAAATATAATATAAGGGTTAGGATTAGAAATTTGTAAAACATTGGGATAATTTATTTTATAATTATATTATAAAGTACGAAATATGGTTCATATTTTTTCTTTCTTCTAAAAAAAGCATTTTTATGTTTTTTAACATATTAAATTGAATATTATTGAGGTTTTTTCAATAAATGATATTTAATTAAAACATTAGAAGTTAGTAAAAGAAAGAAAAAAACATGTTTGACCAAAGTTTTTAATGTCTTATATTGACACAAGTCCCATGTTCTTAAAGTGAATATAATTGCATATCTTGGTACCAATCATAGTTACAAAGATCATAGATCACAAAATATCTAAACACATGAAAGAAAATATTCCCACCTTTAATTAATTAAGTCCTTACTAATTTTCATTTAAACCCCCAAAAAAAAAATTAATTTAAATTTTAAAATTAAGAAAAAAAAATTAATTTATGCCCTTATAGATTCTTCATGATTTCTTTTGTTTTTTTTTTTCTTTGTAATTATCTTAATTATATATATATATATATATTCCCAAGAATTCTCATGGTATATTTTAATTAATTCTTGTATTTTATTTTAATTAATTCATTCAAAATTTGAATTGGAGTAATTATTAAGTTTGCTTATTGTTACAATGTTTGTGGAATTGCATAAGTTTGATTTCTTTGTGACATATAATGGAGGCATATATTTTCTCTAATAATAAATAAATAAATAAATAATGGTTGTTTTGGAACATAGCATTGGACATAGGAAAAGTCCAAAATACCCCTTATTACCTAGGACTTCATGAGAAAGGTGTTTTTGGTTTAGACATATTGATAGTTAAACGTACTTAGCTTGGAGTAATTTTATATCGTGTAACTTCATATAATATTTTAAGGAATTTTGTGAATTAGAACAAAACATGTTAAAAAGACAAATAGGATATGTGGTCATCTTGTAGAGGATGCAGGAGAATGTTGAGACCATCAAGTATTGAATCTAGATTCCAAATTTTGGTTCGAGTATTGGACATATGATATTACTGTTAAGAATGTACCGAACATTTTATCTTAAAAATTAGGAATTGAATTAAGACTTAAAATAAAAAAAAAAATTCAAAATCTAATGGGTCCTTTTTATAATCATGAAGTGAACCTAGCCTCTTATGTTCATTTAATAAATTGATTCTAATTAATAATTAGCTTTACCAAAAGGGCTTTCACTAATTAATCTTAAACCAAAACAGTATTAAAATGAAGTGATTAGGCAAACTATTAGAACATGATTATTAATTATTCGCCTAATCTTAATTATCCCACTAATTAATTTGGTATGAAAAGGGTATTTTGGTCCAACTAATAATACATTTGGTAATTATTTTGAAAAATCCACCTGACATATATTCCAAACAATATTTTAATATTTAATTTGCAATTTAAATACAAATATTATCATTTATATTTTTATGAACAGAAAGTACACCTTATTGATATAGATAGTAACTATCAATTTCTCTCGGTTTTTATCGGTCATACTTACATTATCAATTTAAAATATTTGATACAACAATTAATTTTTATTAATTTCGAATATATCGAACAATTAATTCCTCCACTAATAATTAATTAATTTCAAGTAGCTCATAAAACAAATAGTGAGGCTATAAAAATGAGCAAATTTTGGTTGGCAGTATCTCATTTTGGATACGATTTTATTGGTAATTATTTAGAAAATGATATAGTCCATTATTATACTTTTTTTTATTTTCTTTTTTGTGAAAATAAATATTAAAAAATAATTAAAAAAAAGTGGAAAATATTGGAATAAGGTTGCATACAAAAACCAATGATTTTTTTGGTTTCTTCAACCTTTTAGCTCCACGCGTGACTGAAAAAACTCACTATTAATTAGCATCACACTCAAATTTTCCCAAAAAGAAATAATAAATAAATAAACAACTTTTCAGGGTATTTTAAAAAATAAATATAAATTATTTATTTATTTATTTATTTTTGGGATTTAAAAGAAAATGGGGTATTAGAAAAAAAAAGTGCATATTCCCATGCCAAAAGTGGAAATTCCTAGCTGGGTGTGGAGCATTGCAAGGCTGGTTGGGTGGCTGCGGATATCAAGAATAGCCCCCCAAAAGCCTCCATTTTTATAATCCCCCCCCTCCCGACCTCCTCCGATACACGTCCACGTCCACGACGCCTTTTTCTAGGTTCGTGGACTTCGGGTATATATTTTAAAAATTCAAAAACTAGAAGGAAATTTAATATATATTTAATCGAAAAATATGTCGATTTCAAGAACTATTAATACCCACAAAAATGATCTCGTCGAAGTGAAAGAACGTCCCTACTTAATTTTGACTTAATATCTAATGATTTATTAGGCTTTTTAAAGTTAAGGTTTGAGGTTGGAAATGATGATGGGATATAGGTTTCCAAAAGAGAAAAGACAATGCCAAACCCCATAGGCTTCAAATCTCACTTTTCATGAAAAGGAGTTTAGATTGTAATTTTTGTGTGTATATTATTAGTCACGTTGGCCACTTAACCTCTTTTGCTTTACACTTTCGTATCATATCTTTCACCGTCTAAATCTATATCGTTTTTATCTAAACATGCCTTCTGAATATGATGTCTTTGTCTTTGCTCTTTTCGTATCATATCTGATGTAATGATGTTCATTCTCCTGTTTCAAAAGATATATCGATTTAGTATTTGACCATAGAAATATATGAACGTCAAACTATGTATACCTTAACTACACTGATTATTATTCAAAAGTCGAAATATTTGAGCTTACGAAGAAGTTCGTGAGATCTTACATTTTTTGGAGAAGTAACGAAACATTTCTTCTAATGCTGTGGAAATCTCTCCCGAGTTGACGTGTTTTAAAACCTTGATGGAAAGCTAAAAAAAGACAATACATGCTAGTGGTGGACTTGAGTTGTTACAAAATTTGTCGTTCATCACTTTCTTCTAAGGTGGTGAGTGGGGCCGGGAAGAAAAATCAATATGATATTAAAATATGAAAAAGAATTAAATATATATATATAGAGAGAGAGAGAGAGAGAGTTAATGTTGTTTTATCAGCATAGATAATGAAGTGTGCCAGTTGGCAAGATGGGTGGTGTGAGTCATAAAACAAAACAGCCTTTCGACTCAGCAAAATTCTAAATTCCCTTTGCAGCTTTGTTTTTCTGAGGTCCAGAGATGCTGACGTGTGGCCCCCTCATCCCATGCCCTCCTCTTCCTCCCTCCACGTGGGATCCATTCTACATGTCCTAGTCAGCCACATTTTTCTCTCCATCATTGATATTAAATCTCTCTGCTGGAGGCTTACCTGATTAAACTCCCTTTGAAAACTCCATCTCTCCCTTTCATTGTTCCCTTAATTCTCTCTTTCACACTCGATCTAATCCATTTACAGTCACTATAGACCCGACCGGACCCAACCGAACATAACCCAAGGTTATAAGGTATAAAATGGTAATTAAAGTCTTATCTATAAAGCTATAACAGTCTTAAGCCACTGTTAGTAGAAGTGGTTCTCTTTCTCTTTGGGAGAGGTTTTAAGAATGTTTCGTTCTCCTCCCCAATCGATATGGGATCTCACAATCCACCTTTCTCTGAGGCCCAACGTCCTCGTCGTTCCCTTTTTGAATCTATGTGGGACCCCTCAATCCACCTCCTTTCGAGGCCCAGCATCCTAAGTGGTACACTGTCTCGTGTCCACCCCCTTCACTGAAACATCGTCCAGTGTCAAGATCTGATACCATTTGTAACGGTTCAAGCTCACCACTAACATATATGGTCCTATTTTACTTTCCCTTTCGGGATTTCATTCAAGGTTATTTAAAACGTGTCGGTTAGGAGGAGTTTTCCACACACTTATAAAGAATGTTTCGTTCTCCTCCTCAATCGACGTGAGATCTCCCAAAAGCTAAACTTAGATCAGCACCCATCTCGATCTTAATGAAGTGTAAGAAGTAATGTATTAGTGACAACTAAATATAATATTGAGAAAGGGAAGAGGGAATAAGGAAATAAAATAATGAAGGGGTAGGCAGAAGCTTATGATTTGAGAATGACCCTCCAAAGCTCATTGACTCCCACTTCCATCACATGCATCTCTCTCTCTCAATCTCCTTCTCTTTCTTCCTTTGGAGGCATCCAATTCTGCTTATTTAAGCCCCTCCCCTCCTCCCTTCATTCTCATCCTCTCCAACAATCAAATTTCTCCTCTCTGATTCCCAAACCCTTCAAACTTTACTCACAATCTTCTCTTACAAACAAAACCATTACCAAAACTCTACCTATTGCCTGTTTCTTGGCATCCATCCACAAGAACACAACCACAACCACAGTTTTCAATCAAACAAAACAAAACAAAACTTGTTTGACATACCTCAGTAGTGATGGAGAACTTGTTTCGTCTTGCTGATCACAATGACTTTTTCTCTCGTCGATGCATCTGGGTTAACGGTCCGGTGATCGTTGGAGCTGGACCGTCCGGGCTGGCCACTGCTGCTTGTCTTAGAGAACAAGGGGTGCCTTTTGTAGTCCTTGAACGAGCTGAATGCATAGCTTCTCTGTGGCAAAAGCGCACCTATGATAGGCTTAAGCTTCACCTTCCAAAGCAATTCTGCCAGCTCCCTAAACTCCCTTTCCCTGAAGACTTCCCTGAATACCCAACCAAGAGACAGTTCATTGAGTACCTTGAATCATACGCCAAGCATTTTGAGATCAACCCACAATTCAATGAGTGTGTTCAATCAGCAAGGTATGATGAAACCAGTGGCCTGTGGCGTGTCAAAACTGTTTCGACTGCTGGGTCGACGCGCAATGAGGTCGAGTACATTTGCCGATGGCTCGTTGTGGCCACCGGCGAGAATGCTGAACGTGTAATGCCCGACATCGAAGGATTAAGCGAGTTTTGCGGTGATGTCTCGCACGCTTGTGAATACAAGTCCGGAGAGAAGTTCACCGGAAAGAAAGTGGTGGTAGTTGGCTGTGGCAACTCAGGCATGGAAGTTTCTCTTGACTTGTGCAACCACAATGCCTCACCTTCAATGGTGGTCCGAAGCTCGGTAAGCATTAGAACAAACTAAAAACATCACTGTTCTAACATTTTGTACAGCTCAATGCAATCTGAATCTTGGAATTTTGGTTCTAATGGTGATTGTTTCCTCTGTTTTCAACAGGTCCATGTCTTACCAAGAGAGGTTCTTGGAAAATCTACATTTGAACTAGCTGTTTTGATGATGAAATGGCTACCCCTCTGGCTGGTTGACAAGCTCTTGTTGGTCCTGGCATGGCTGATGCTAGGAAACATTGAAAATTACGGCCTCAAACGGCCATCAATGGGGCCATTGCAGCTCAAAAACGTGGTGGGGAAGACCCCTGTTCTTGACATTGGAGCACTGGAGAAAATCAAATCCGGTGACATCAAAGTAGTTCCTGGAATCAAACGGTTCACTCGCAACCAAGTAGAGCTCGTCAATGGCGAAAAGCTCGATGTAGATTCAGTAGTTTTGGCTACTGGGTACCGCAGCAATGTCCCCTCTTGGCTTCAGGTGAGGCAAACATTCAGTTTAAACTTAATTTTTTTCTCAGAGTAATTTTGTCGAACACATCGTAGGCATAAAATAAAAAATAAAAAAACATTCACAAACATGGCTAACCAGACATTTGGTCTTGAAATGATCAGGAAGGCGAATTCTTCTCGAAAAACGGATTCCCAAAAGCAGCATCGCCACATGCATGGAAGGGAAATGCAGGGCTTTACGCAGTCGGGTTCTCGAGAAGAGGGCTATCAGGGGCTTCGTCGGACGCCATGAAAATAGCTGAAGACATCGGCAGTGTCTGGAAGGCGGAGACAAAGCAACAGAAGAAGAGAACCACGGCATGCCATAGACGATGCATTTCACAGTTCTGAAAAATGACCGCCATTGATGACTTTGGCGAAGGTGTAAAAAAGAAGAATACAAATAATACTGTAAAAAGAAAAAAAAAAAAAAAGAACACAGAAACAGAGCCCTCTCCAGAAGCCCAATTTTAGACAAAAACTTGTTATGGGCATTTTGTAAAAGATGGAAGATGAGGCTTTTCTTTTTCTCCTGTTCCTTCATTTGTTCATCCAATTTACTTCTTATTAAAACTTATCCCAATTCTTCTGTTCATCAACCATTTTTTGATATCCATTTCCTTAATCATTTCTATTCTGCCTCAATTTATAGACAAATTCAATGAATCAAGTAATCTCAATACTCGTCACACAGATTGTAGCAATTTGTCATTGATGAATTGATGACATTTCCATAATCCATTTGTATTATTATGACATTTCCTGTTCCAACATATGACTTTATAGTCGGTAAACTATGTTTTAACTAATTAGAATGAGGCATTTAGAGTATCCAGATTTGTAATTCTTATACTAAGCTTATCAAGGTGCATCTTACATTCAACCGCCAGTTTCACGACCCGACATGAGTGCTTGAAAGTTGTTATTACTACAATGTTTAGTTAACAGACAAAAAAATTGTGTTAAGCTGTCGGATTTTATTATACATTTGAGTAATCTTGTATATATCTAACCATAGGGTTTCTGTTAAAAGAAATAAGGGAAGACAAGTTGAAATGAAAGGAATAATCTAATAGGTTTGACCAAAAAAACTGAGTGAAAGAATAGACGATTATTATAGCATTTGCTTGCACATGTAACCCCAATTATCATTCTTTCCTTTGAATTTATTAATAATAATAATAATTATTATAATTATAATTATTTATTATTTCAAAAACTCTCCAATATTGATAAATTTTGAAAAAAAAATGTTTTAAAAACTCAATAAAAAAATAAATAAAATGATTATACTTATAATTAATTATTATTTCAAAAACTTCGATAAAAAAATAAATAAAATGATTATAATTAAATTAATTATTATTTCAAAAACTCTCGATAAATTTTGAAAAAAAGGTTTAAAAAATGGTTTAAAAAATAAAAAAAAATCTTCCAAAAACTTAATAAAAAAATAAATAAAATGGCTTGTACAAATATAATAGTTTCATTTCTAAATATAATATTTAACATTTGGGCCGGGCCCATTCATCACAGAATTTTGAATTTTTATTTTCTATTATTATATTGATATCTTTAATGTTTAATAGCAAATCCTTAACCATTTTTTATTTTTATTAAAATAATTAATTTTTACCCATAAATTTCAATTTTATATTTTATGAAATTTTAATTTTTTTTAATTTTTAAAGGTTAGTTGACCAAAATTTTTAAAATATTTTTAATTTTATGATAATACATTATGCACTTGTTACACAACAACTAAAAAACGCCAACAAAACAGACAACAGCTAGGAGAAATGGAGGTTTGAGCTCTAAAAGGATTTGGTGTTGATTTTATTTGACGTGTTGATTAAAAATTTATATATGGAATTACGACAAACAAAAATATCCACCCTCTAAATTTGTTTATAAAGAATAGAGTATTTATTAGAGAATAATAAAAATATAATAACAAAAATAATAAATTAAAAACATATTTAAATAAGAGAGAGTAAATGAAAAAAATACAATAATTAAAATAATAACCATTATATTCCAAAAACAAAAAACTTTCTATTTCCTTATTTTTATTTTTTCTATTATTGCATTGCATAATTAATTTTGTATTTATACGAGTATAAGATTCTACTCTATCAATAATTATTATTTTAACACTGTTATATTGGGTGAAAAATGGTTCATTTATTTGATGGATATTGACTTAACAAAGTTGCTTTACATGAATTTGGATGACGTGATAATTTAAAAATAATTATCTACATTATTGTTCCAATTCTAAGTTAAATGAAAGTATGCTACATTAAATATAGATATCTTTTAAAAAATCGAGATAACTTATAAGCCAACTCATGGTTGTATTTAAAAAAGTATATATTATTTATATAATTTAGAATAGATATTATAGTCATTAGTTAATAAAAAAATTAAAGAGTTATTTTTCTTAATTCCTAAAATAAGTCGTATCGGCTAAAAATAGTAAAATGTGGTTGAAAAACAACCGTTTTTTATTATTATTATTTTATTTTTTATTTTATAATAAGGTTTTATTTATGATTTTCATCAAAAAGTAAGGCGGGAGTGAGTTTGAGATAGGTCACAGCAAATTAACAGGAGGAGGAAGAAGGAGAGCTTCAACTTTGAAATAGATGGCAGTTCCTTCCAATTTCACCTCTCCTCCTCTAACTCCTCATCGCACTCTTTCCTCTTCCTTCAAACCTCCTGTTTTATCCCTCCCTTTTTACAACGCCTGCGCTTCCAAATCCATTTCAATCTCCAAACACAATGCCCTCAAAAATGGATCCGCGAGGATCAGACCTATGTCGATTAGAGCTTCTTCTTCCTTTGGTTCTAGACTCGAGGAGAGTGTCAAAACTACAATTACTCAGAATCCTGTTGTTGTTTACTCCAAGACATGGTGTTCGTGAGTTCAAATCTCATCCATCTCATCTTTATATTTGTAATGCTTTTTTTCGATTTCCTTCGTGTTTTCTTTCCTTTTCCAGATTTGGGTTTCTTGAGTTTACTGGAAATATTTTGAAGCCGGATCGTTCGTTGGCAATCTCTTTTTTGAAGGTATTCTTCTGAGGTTAAGGCGTTGTTCAAGAGGCTTGGAGCGCAGCCATTGGTCATTGAATTGGATGAATTAGGTACTTTTTCTTCGATTCTTATTACACTTGCTGGTAGATTTGCTCGAGGGGATCTGAGTACTGAAATCACCTTTTCTTTTTCCCTCTATGACGATAACTGCCATTCCTGTCATATGTTCTTACTATTAACTTAAATTTTTGGATTAAGTTGTAAGTTAAGGGGTTGAGGATGGTTGGGAGAGGAGTCCCACATTGACTAACCAAAGGGAAGATCATGGGTTAGTAAGGAATTCTATCTTCATTGGTACGAGATTCGTGGTTCCTAACATGGTATCATAGCATGTCCTTAACTTAGACATGTCAATAAAATCCTCAAGTTTCGAAGAAAGAAATTGTGAGCCTCGAAGGTGTAGTCAAAAGTGACTCAAGTATTGAACAAAGGGGTGTAATTTGTTCGTGGGCTCCAAAGAACGAGTCCAACCTCAATTAAGGGGAGATTGTTCGAGGGGAGGATTGTTGGGAGAGGAGTCCCACATTGACTAATTAAGGGGAAGATCATGAGTTTATAAGTAAGAAATTTCATTGGTATGAGTGCTTTTGGGGAAACCAAAAGCAAATCCATAAGAGCTTATGCTCAAAGTGAACAAGATCATGCCATTGTGGAGATTCGTGGTTCCTAACATGATATCAGAGTCATGGTATCAGAGTCGAGCCTTGATTAAGGGGAGGCTGTTCGAGGGGAGGATTGTTGAGGATTGTTGGGAGAGGAGTCACACATTGGCTAATTAAGGGGAAGATCATAAGTTTATAAGTAAGAAATACTAACTTCATTGGTATGAGGCCTTTTCGAGAAACCAAAAGAAAAGCCATGAAAGAGCATTTAAAGTGGACAATATCATACCATTGTGGAGATTCGTGGTTCCTAACATTAATATATACCTGGAGATGCTCAATTTAAGCCCAATTCAACCCCTGTATGTTACTTCCGAATTCATGATGTTACATGTGTTGGTTTGTATGAATCAAATTGATATCCTTGAGCTATTTGCTTTGATTTAAACCATCATGAGTCTTTCATTGCATTTAATGTCTTCTCTTAAATCTTTTTATGCATCTTGTAAGCTGACAAGTTTTTTCCCTTCAGGTCCCCAAGGGCCACAACTGCAAAAGGTACTTGAGAGGCTTACGGGACAACATACGGTACCAAATGTTTTCATAGGTTAGTATTGCTTAATCACAATTATCAATCTTATGTATGTTGAAAATATTATCATTTTATGTTTACGTGGTTCTCTGTTTTAGTTATGAAACTTTCTCATTTTATTTACGATATCTTCTGTAATGAACAATCATTTGATATGTACAAAAACATTGCTTTTAATAGAGATTTTGCGTCAATCTTCACTGAATACCTCTACTTATGATCCTGATCATACCCCTTGGTTCAATATAACCATCTAGAAATAATACGGTTGTGTATATGCTGAGAGCAGAAGCATATAGAGGGGTTTAATTTTGGATTTTCGGTCTCAGTAAATAAGTAGAGCACGACGTGTTAGACCCTCTGATCGGGGGACACGTGACTTGGCTCTATGTGTCTTACCTGAGTCTAGATCTGATCATGTATGGGGTGGCACACTCAAAAGGATGGGTCCAAGGAAGGTGGCAACATTTACGCGTAGTAGGTGGTTGTCGCCTCTGACAATTGCACGAATGAATGCTGCTTGTTAAGAGACAAAGACACTTTAGTTTGAGTATTGTGTCTATGTCCATATCCATGCTTCTTAGTTTGTGTATACATACTTTGTTCTTGGACTGGAAGCAAGTGATTTTATATATGAAGTTTGAAAATGGGATAGGAAGATCCTTTTTCCAATCTTTACTCATATTTTTTCGTGTTTATGAATGGATTGCTCTACAATCCACAAGCATGCTTACTAATAGGGGAAGCGCCTCAGCTTCGCATCATCCCCGATATATATTTGTGAAGAACCTCAATGAACTAACTACTCACTGCTCGAGCTTACGTTAGTCGTAGAAACCGCTCACTACTATGTACTAAGTTTCTTCCTTCTCTCCATGTCTTTCTTGTTTTAGGAGACGGTGGAGGTTTTTTGACCCACCACTGATTTAAACCACAATACTCTAGCTTTGCCTCTAGAAAAGGTCCATGGAAGAGTTGAAAATGCCTCGGAGCACATCTTAGCAAACCTATATCAGCCCATCAATCAACAAAGATTTGAATAATGACTGACTCATTTTTGAGCCTACGAAAGGAAATTTCATTAGAATATATAACAAATGCACGTACTATCCACGTAGATAGAAATCCCTCACCCCTCATCATATTTTTGAGTCATAGTAAGGAAGCCGGTTTGGAAGTTCATAAAATATATGAATTATGAGCGCCCCCACCCCCCGTGTTTAAAAATACTGCCCCTTTGTGTTGTTTCGAATATCGACTACCGTTCTATTTCATGTAGTCTCGTCATCTAAAGATTTTTCGATCTAGTTTGGTTTGTATCGCTTATTCTTGGATGCGTACCAAGTATTGTTTAAACTCACATACCTCTTTTTGTGGTCAGGGGGCAAGCACATAGGCGGTTGTACAGGTACATTTTTTTTTTTTTTTTTACCAAAGCTTTCATTCAATGGAAACATACATTGCTTGCTTCACTTATATTGATTATCGATGTTGCTTGTGCTCGCCGTTGTGATGCAGATACTGTGAAACTATACCGAAAAGGAGAGCTCGAGCCTCTTCTATCTGAAGCGAATGCTAAAAATACAGAGACATAAGGCTCTAGGCACATTTTGTTTTCTTAGCCATTTGCTGACTGACCTGTTGATTTTCTTAATTCTACCTCGAGTGACACTTGCGTTTCTAGTTAGGAACATGTATTTTAAGATATTTGTGGATGCATTTGTTTCAAGGAAGGATCTCCAGTTTATGCATGAAATAAGAGAGCATTTTATTCCCATTTGGAAAGAAAAGCCTTCCATTTCCCCGGTCCAGGCTCCCTTTTCTGTCTATGCTATGCTCGTATGGCGTAGGCTTACCACGTTCCGCGCCTATAATGTTTTTGCCGAACGGTCTTTGCCAGTAGCGTTATCCTCTCTACTGGCTGTATGGTCTAGTTGTTTCGTGTTGTTTTTAAGGTATTTAGATGTTTTTGCAACACTTTGAGGTATTTTACAATCAATCTTCTGAAAGTAGGAGTTCGGAGTCCATCGAGGAGTTTTTTTTTTTTTAGATTTTAATTTCTAAAGAAATATTTACGTAATTAGATTTCATCTATTATTTAGTAACATTTGAATATTTACATGCAAATTGATTTTATTAATTTATTTACTTTATTATACTGAGACTTTCAAATTATTTAAATTTTATTTCTCAATTTTGAAATTACATTAAATAAAAATATATTCCACCATTTTAGCATATTAATTTAATTACTCATTTTATTCTATGACTCTCCATTTGGCTATTTAGTACCATATTTATTTTTTAATAACTCTACTTTCTAAAATTAAATTAAATCTATCTATTAATTAATTAATTAAAATTAATTATCTAAGTAAAATTTTTTACACGTTCTTGAAAGCGCTGTGTTCTCCTTGTTATGTACCACCATTTTGGCGCCCAAGTTTTTCTTTCCACAGAAACCACAATCCCTCGTTTACAGGGCGCGCATTACCATGAAGCGTAATCTCAAGCCGTCCATTTCTACTGGTTCTTCTTCGATTCTTCCTTATCATGTTTTTGAGTTTCTTTAATTTTGATATATTGCTGTTGCTTTGATTCTCGATTACACATCATGCTTTCCCCCGTTTAATTTTTTAGTATTTTTTTCAAGACTTTTGTTCCTGAGAGGATCGATTTTGTTTGTTGCCACTATTCTTAATAATTTCATTCCGGTTCCAATGTATTTAAGTTACTATTGTGGTTTAGTTCGAATTCGTTGTCTCGATGGATTTCATTTCTGGCCAATTATAGCCCAACTTCTAATGAATGTTTGATGTTGTGTTATCTTTTTCTCTCACGTAATTTTGTATATTCTGTCGTGAGAAGCCGGAAGTGATCTTGTATGTACTCCTGTTGTTCTTTAAACTGCATGTAAAAATGCCTTAATTGACTACATGTCCAATATTTTGATCAGAAATGTCTCTCCTGTACTCCGCTATCGTTTGCTTTCTTCATCGAGTTTGTTGGGAGTTTGACCAAAGTCCCAAATAATGAGCATATAAGTAGATAATAATGCAATGAGACCTCTCATAAGAAATCATAAGGCTTATGTTCAAAGTGGACAGTATCATATCACTGTGGGGATCCATTGTCTTAATAAAAATTCATCTTTATATATAAACCTCAAGATGTCATATTGATACCCTTGCGAATGCAAGAACACTCATTTTAGTCAGGTTCCACATTAGCGACAAGGATAAGTTTCACTGCGTATGAAGTAACGTTTAAACCATAGAAGCTACATTTGCTATTGTGTGACTACGTTTTGCAGTTATCCTTGTTTTCTCTAAATTGTTTCAGGAAGTGAATTTCTACTTTGTAAAATTAAATGATTTCAAAAGTTTCTTCACTTAAAATAATAATTTTGATAAATCCTGCATGAACATTCCTTATAGATAGTATCTGTCGGAAGAGAATAAAAGTTGGAGACCTTGATTGTGATAGACCTTTGACATGCAGAAGAGATACTTCTCCCGTATCCTTGAAAGAAGGACATGTTACATGCCGTGAGTTTTCTACATTACCCAACTCTCAATTGTACTTTCCTAGAGTAGCGAGCTATTCGAGGCTCCCAGTGTTAACAGTTCTCTTTGTCTTTTTTTTCTTTTTTGAGTTTTGTTCTAGCTAAGTTTCTTATTGTATTAGTGCATGATCCTTGTTAAATAGTTCAATTGTTGATATGTTTTCTTGTATGGGAGCGATGGCAGCAAATAATGCAAAAACTTCGGAGTTTGCATTTTTTAAGAAGTTCAAGGATGCAAACCGTAGATTCAGTTCATCTCTTCAACGTCAAAAGGAACTTCAATCCAAGGAGTTCAACTCGACTGATCATTTCAGAGGTAAGACATAAACTTTAATTGCAATATCAGTGTTAGCAGCAAATATATATATATCTATATTTATATTCTTTGGGATGTGAAAACGTGGATCTTTTTAAGAACTATACTTTCAGTGTCTGCCTTATCTGCACATGTGAGGCTAAGACCTTCCACTCAGCTCAATGTTGACATGTATTTTTTCTTCAAGTTTAACCCATTCTTGGAATCGACCATAAAAAAGATAATAACAATATCTCCCAATAAAAGTTGGAAGTAACGTGTAACTTGTACCCATTATTTTGTTTCCAAGCAGAGAGAGCAAGGCATGTTGAAAATCGCCGTGAAGACTTCGCATCACATCCTTTTGTTGAGAATGTCACTCCTATTAACTTTAACTCGATGCATTTACCCCTGGGTAATTCATCCAAAATTTCAGGTATGCACTTAAAGCAGACACTCGTTAATATTTGATATTCCCTTTTCTGTTAATTCATCCTGACATGAGATTGAACGAAGATGTATAATTAAGTCGTCCCGAGTATTCTGTAACTCTATACTACGTATAGGAAAAATACATTTTCATCCATGTACTGAACTAAGACATTATGAGTTGTCAATACAAAATGAGTCGGAGATTTTCTTTCACATATCGCATGTATCAGTGTAATGTCTCTCAATTTGTTTATCGATATTTGGGTTTGCAGTACATGATGAAATGAGATCCCACAGGAAAACAAAACAGTTTCCAAATAGTAATTTGTGCTCTTTGTTTTATTGCAGAGGTAGATGTGAAGCACGCTCATAAAACATTTAAGGATATACAGAGCAAACAGAGAAACGTGGAAAATGATGGTAATTCTTTCGTCTGAGTTTCGTTCTCTCTCTTTTTCTTGCTTATTTTTTTTTTAAAAAAAAAATAGAGAATCACAATTTTGAGTTCTTATGAGCAAATGTTTCGTCTTTTGTGTATGCATATATTTCTTATCATTTTCCAATGGTTTCTTTTTTGGTCCATTTTTGCATTCTCAACAGAGTTGGGGAGCCTTGATCTTATAGTCTTAAAAAGTTCCGAGCCATGTTCGTTAATGTGTAATGCATTCATTTAGTGGTCTACATCAGAAAGATAGATGGGATAGTCATGATAGCATATTTGATCAGGTACTCTTCATATTCATGCAGATATTTTTAGTAGGAAGAGGCAGAAATTACGTCAGTTCATTCAGAATATGTCGTTCCATGGAACTGGTGAATCATATGAGAAGAGGTCAGAGTCATCTTTGTTCTATCTGTTGTCCCGTCATCTTTCTGGATCCGACTATGGAATTTTTTGGAACTTGTCCAGGTATGGTGTTATTTCCACTCTACTTAGTCGGCTTATACCTGAAAGCAATCAGTATAAGGTATTATGCACTTTTACCATCTTCCAATAACTTCAACTTTTTTTTTTTCTAATTCTTTTCTGAATTACTGGCTTTAGAATGAACCTGATTCTCGACAGTTTAATAATAACTTGGAAAAACTACAATGGTTGCCTGGAAGGTGCTGGCCAAGGCTTGATTATGAGCATCGTTTGAATAATAGTTCATCGCCTTGTCGTTTGAATAAATCAAGAGGCAGAGTTCTTTTCCACTCTGATTTCTCAACCAATAACGATGATGACAACTTCCACGTTAAGTACAGGACCAAGGACTTTGACAGTGATGTAGAAGGGAAAATGACTTTGCTTGATGCCAATAGTTCACCTAGTACTGCTGCAGTTGAAAACTATAGATCACTTATCAACCTTTTCAACCCGCAATACGGTTTCTATGATCAAGGTGAACCTTTGCACATAAGGAAGCAAGAGATGGAACCTCTTCTGCTGGGTTGGGATACGGACGACATAAAAGATGACAGTTCTAAAGTTACAGAGTTCCACACATTTGCTGAGCCACCAATTTCGTTCGCTGATGACCATCAGCCAAACTTGCAGGAGAGTTTTGGAGCTGTTGCACTATGTTCATCCCCTTTCCCTTCCAGTTATCATAGAAACTTATATCCATTGCCATACTCCAGTTTAGACAGCTATCAAATCCATGGGTTAAGTAGGCATAATGTAGAAAAAGAGGAAGGTATAGACGCCACTTTCAACAACGTGCATTTGAATTTCTCATCTGTACCCAAATGTCTTAGTCAGTGCGATAACTATGTCGAAGACCGTGGCTTCTTCTGTGCACAAAGTGCTAATTGGCTTATGAATTATGCATCGAATGACGAACACCGGCATCCTTCTTTAGAAAGTATGTGTGCTTCTGGCTTTGTCTTTGATTTTGGATGGAAATACCTCTCAGGCTCAAAGGAGCACTGCCAAACAGCTTACCATCTACTTGAGTACCCACTGGATGAAATGAGACCAACATCCCCTGTCAATGAAGAATGTAATATTGACAGTTCAGAATATCGACAGCCCTTCTTCATCCAACCCGAGTCATTCTTTCAAGAAGGGAAGAAGGTACGCTCTCTACTGACTGATAAACTTAGCTGGGATGTCACTAGAAGTGAAATAAATGTCGCTATAACTGAAATGGATTACGTTTGACACCAGATTCAACTCACAATTGATCCTTTGTATCCTCTTTTGACCTGTCTTTCTATTCTACAGAGAAATAAACTCTGAAGTCCTTGAGAAAACCACTCATATTTCAACATGAATTGCTTTGCTTTGCTTGGACCGTCTTAATGGTATGATGTTGTCCACTTTGAATATAAACTCTTGTAGTTTTGCTTTTGCTTTCTCCCAAAGGTCTCATACCAATGGAGATGTGTTATAAACTCATGATCAACTCCTTATTAGTCGAGGTGGGATTTCTCTCCCAACATTTTTTAATATTTTACCTTTTGGTCGAGGTACGAGTAAGTTGTATTCGAGTTGAGGTAGAGTTATAT